ACCTAATTTCCACATTTGGCAAAGATTCAACGAAATTCACTCCGTTTTAATGGACGAACACACTCCCCTTGTTGTATATAATATATTATTATTATTATTGTTAAATGTAATGTAAGAAAAAAAAACTAAGTGTAAAAAAAATTGTTATTATATCTATCAGTTATATATCACGTATCTACCTACGCTGGCTCTTGTTTATTATGTGCGATTGCAGCTCACAAACCGTTTACACACACTCGCCGTTTTGAGAAATTAGGTACCCACTCGGACAGAAAATATATTTTAAAATAAAAAATTAAATTAACGTGTATGGCTAATCGCGAGTCGTATAGACGGGATTTTAGAACGATCCGTCGGAGACCGGTTTTCTGTTCAAAGCTCTGCAGCTAGGCCACTTATTATTATTACTATTATTTTAGTATTCTTTGTCTGATAACCACGAACGTCGTGATCATAATGGATCGTATTATTATTGTTATTATCATGTGTTATTGTGTTAAGTATAGGTATGGCGTGTCGGTGATAACGAAGTGGTCGAGTTGTATGTGTACAATATTTCTGCGAAACGGTAAATTACAAATCGCCAGTCATCAAACGGCTTACAGCTCAGCGGCGCAGCATCATGTGAAAATGTGAAATGTACTTAATTCATTACAGCGAGAACACAACTGATTGCCTACCTGCAGCCTTCCAAAATCAAATCAAAAAGTATAATATATCATATTATGACATTAGTCGAACCGAAGAAAGCCGTAATGTTCGTTTGCTTATAAAGTATTTTGCAATTTTCGTGATAAAATATATTAAAAATCGAACACACAATAATCCGAAATTATTTGTAAAATCTTTAGTTGCTCTTGACCAAATTAATTAACCACAGTGAAATAGATGGTATAAAGGTAAAAAAAATATTCAGTTACAATGCAATTTTAGCCTCATTGATCAATGTTATTATAATAATATATCAGAACAACGAAAATAGTAATGGCTATAAAAAGCCATAATTTAAGTTAATCAATTAATTATTTCATGAACTATTTTTGATAAAATGTAATCAATAAAAACAACTATACATTTCCTATAATATGTGGTTTTATAATATTTCATCGTCCAAGTTGAACGTTTTACACTTGCGTAACCACACCCACTCTTGAATACAAATGTCTATATAAACCCCAAATTTACTTTAACCTTTAATATTTTTTTTATAAAAGCCAAAATGCAAAATACTCCGTTGAATGTATTTAATCCAAACTAAAAACTGAAAAAAACAATTCCGAGAAGTTTTTATTTTTATAACACCCAATCCTTTCTGTATAATCTCCTTTTAGAAAATACAATGAGGTAAATTTCTAATAAAGGTAAAGTTAAAATACGATTATGACATTTACTTAAGCTTTTTATGAAAACAGACAAGTTTGTTTAAATGCATAAATTTAAATTAAAAATACTTAAAAAAAACAACATCAATATATTGTACAGATATTGCTTCTTTTAAAAAAATAAAAAGATATACGATTACCATGCCATATGGAATATAGGTGCGTATAATATAATATGCTCATTCAATGTGACTACCCTTAAAATTAAATAACATTTTTTTCGTCAATATTTTGTATTGCTCTTCTAGTTAAGGTTCAATAGTGTATATTTATTCCGGGCAAATTATAAGTATACCTTTTATATTGCGTACCATATTACTAGAACATGTTTATGTTACTAATAATTAATTAATGTTTCTACATTATTCGACAGTTTTAAAGTGAAATTCGACCGATAAAAAAAATTATGAACCCTCCTATGAATATTATATAATATAATATAGCGTATAATTATAATATTATAAGTGCATCGCATCTGTAGAAGCATCAATATTGAATGGTTTAAATTTTTGGCCAGGTGATATTGTAGGTCTTCGGTGCCGGAATTCCTATGTGTAGTTGTTGCGAAATTAACGTCTTGGGGATAGGAAACCAACTAAATATGTAACGACTCCGTGGGCCGGTGTTCAAGACAACCATTGAACACAGTTTCGATCCCCCAGGTAAAATTTGTATACTTCGTTATAATATGTTGACCTGAAAGAGCCACATAGTTATTTATTTGATGTCTGTACGGTCCACTTTTATAGACTATGTAGTAAATACGTTTAGTCGAGGGTGATCACTGATCACAGATCAGGTACCTCTGAGACGGTCTGATCTCTATTCCCTCGCTCGTATTTGGCGCAGCCGAATTGCATGCCAAAAATAAAAAGAAAAAAGTGTCCGATTTACATGCCATCTCTAAAAAGGGTCGTCCAAAATGCATGGCATGGGTCCATTTTGCCAGCATGTGAATTATATACGTTACATTTGTGCTATCGTCGTTTATTTACTTTGTGTGCTATTAAACTCAAAACAAAATACTGAGTTACTGTATACTTTCAGTCCCGAGTCTGCAGATGAAAGGAAGGCAAATGTTACTTAAACTTTATTCTTATATTAATTATTCAAAATATAATCACAACGTTTACATTACATGATGTAATTATTATAATATGGTGTCTTATACTCGTATATGACGTGTAGGCGTATCTTCCATACTAAACAAATTCTTATAAAAGTTGCTTTGAGGTTAAAAAATAAGTGACATACGAATCAATAAAAAAAAATATTAAAAGATATTATAAGAACTATAAAACTTTAAATACACAAAATAAATAAAATTATAATAATTAATGAGTATATTTCCTAAAATGCATAAAATGGCTATACTATATAGTATACTCGAACAGATTAATTTAAGAGATGACATGTAAATTGAGAGGTTTTTCTTTGTTTGCATGCAACTTGGATTTGTCCCTCATATTTACTATTCGCAAATGGTTAATATTTATTATTATTTGCTGTGATAATGCTGATAAATCTTTTGACTCCATAACAAATACCTATATAATTAATTTTTATTGGATTTGGTCTCAACAACAAATTCTGAAATTGTATCCCGAAATATGAACACTCAGATTTAAAAAATGAAGACACGAGATATGAGTTTCATTTATTGGTAACACGATGTGGCTACGTCTTAAAACTGTTGTACAGCTATTATTTAGATTTTGATTTATCGGAGACGCACGTGCCCAGAGTATACCAGCGCGTTTCCTGAATTTTGATTATTATTAACACTGATACGTTCATTATTTTGCATTTTACTAAAGCAAGAGATATCATTTTTAGAGCCCTTTCTGTAGCATGTAGATAAAGTTTAATGCTTCAGTATTATTATTATTTATAGGTCGGTGTGTACAAATTTAGTTTGTCCTTGTATGTTTATACAATTTTAACGTTATGATTGGGTACGTTAAAATATATTTTTATCTGTTAAAATTATTTTCGTCGTTATTATTGATCGAAACAATATTTTTCTGTCAAATTAATTACTATTTTTTTTTTATTAACTATATTGCTAAAATTAGTAGGTGTTGCATTTTTGTAGCATCAACATTATTTTTTTCGAATTGATAATCATTTGTGATATTATTATGAGTTACGCTTGTAAATTGTATTCGAGCCGTACAATAATTCGTGGATGCGTCTTTTGAAGTTCAATTAGGCAAGGACATTCAAAATGATTTATCCGATTTAAAATACTTGATATTTTCAGTTTTTCGGTTTATAATAATATATGGTACATTAAATGTTCTAAGTGGCTGCTTGTGGACTCCGCTAATTTTTTTAGGTCCTATGTGATTGCAGATGATGCTTGGTACTTGGTATCTTTAACAAATCCCAGAAAGAAGTAGTCACATGGCGTAAGATCAGGTGAACTAGGAAGCCAGTTCCTACAAAAGCATCGAATAATTCATTTTGTATTTCCTTGTTATTTTCTCCTGTTTGGCCAATTGCATTACCATCTCTTATTTCATTGAATTTATCAATGCTGCGACTATTTTTTCTTAATATAACATGTATTGTAAATAATTGATTAGATGGAAAACAATCTAATATTTTAATAAGAAGAAAAGGAATGGTAAAAACCAGCTTGTAATATGCCAAGACGGCTGGCTTTTGTTATAATAAGAATGAAACATTAGGATGTGACATGTGGATACGAGAAAAAGAAGAGAGAAGATGTTTTAAAATTAATTTTAGATAATAACGTTGGCGAATCGATTTTGCATTAAGTACATTTTTAATAAAAGTTATATGAGCTTCGTGGGTAAAATACGGTAGTTTTCTTTAATAAATAAAGTTGACATAACATATTTTGCACCCGCAAATTGACGTGCAGATAATCGATTATCTACTGTACTTAAATCCCACATAGGGGGTGTCCTAATTTTATTACATTCTAAAAAATGATCTAAGTACAGTGATTACCCAGACTCAGCCTTGAATACAATTATTACTAGGTACACAGTAAACCTCTGCAGCAGTGGGTCAAGATCGATTTCCCTTCTGGTTTATCCTGTCATACAAACACAGACACCATATTTCAGAATTTCGAGAACGGCTGGAGGAGTTGTGCAGCAGACATACGCTTGACTGCAGTTGTAGCCATGCTTGGAACTTTTAGAAAACGACTCTGCTTGGAACAATTATTCTACAAAGACAATTGCGTTAAACCCACCCAAACTGCAACGGCGATATATCTTAGTGACCGTGCTACGAGTGCCGTTTGTATTGTACAAAAATAAACATGTACATTGTACACAACAGCATTAAGATTATTTTCAAATGCACATAATATTGCAAAACCACATTTCCTATTAATTACACCATGTAATAAATACAATGTGTTTATTTAGTTGAAATGCAAAGAAAAAAAACTTTTAAAGTATTGAACTTTATATAGATATACACTATATATTGATTTTTCATGTACATTTTAGCTACTTGGCAGGTTCTTATATAGCAACGAATATTATTTATTTGTTTACAACAACTCATTTAGTTATTAAACAAATAATTTTAATAATTCTTTAAACTAATGTATTAAACATTTGGATCAACATTAAAATGCATACAGAACACACTTTTAAAAAATCCTACTTTTCCCATTTGAATAGATGCATGCATTGCAAAAAAATAAGTGTTCTAAAACCGGTCTACAAATGTACCGGTTGTTCCATAGTAAGTCATCAAGGCTGCTTGGAAAGAAATCAGTACGCCATTGACGAGCATCTCAGGGTAGAAAAACGTCAAGTCGAAGAGCAAAAAACATCAATGAAAATCAAGTACAATGAACTTGGAGAGCTTCTAGAACCAAATTATCTGTACAATATGTTGGTAATAGAAAAACGACACCCAATATCGTTGATGTCGAAGGAATGCTTGAAAGCAAGGAATGCAGGACACAAATCTTTGTTTTCTGTCATTCGGGTAGGTTACCTCTAACGATTTTTGTTTAAGAAAAATTATTGTACTATCTGTCATAATATACTAATTATTATAGAAGCAAAAATAAAAGCAAAAAATAGTATTTTTTAAATTGGTTTTTAAATCATAAAATATATTAAATTAAAATTACATTCGTTTCAGAAAACGATATCAGAGAACTTGTTACTCTTCGACTAAATCTAATATCACATCCTATATATCATATTTCAAACGTTCCTTTGATGAAGGTATTTTTCGGAGTGTATATACTCACATATATTGAAAAAATTTTGGCAACAACACGAATTAGGTCCTACTAAATCAACCATTGCACATTTTTTTTTTAGTCTTTTATTTACAACTCATCTATCTTAATCATATTTAAATACAATTTGTTTATTCGAAGGCATAAGTGCTACAATTCGAAGCATGCTTTTACTTTGTCTGCTCGAGTAACCATTGGCAAACTTTCATATATATAAAAAAAAATACTAATTTCAATTTACAATTATAATCTATACTATAAATATTACAGTGGTTCTCAATCGGTGTGTCGCTAGAAATGTCATACATGAATAGGCGCATGGCTATAACTATTGCCCCCGGCGAAGTTGCCGAAGTTGCTGTGGTTGTCAAGCGCGTGAGTGTGCCATGACAACTTGTGATGTATAATAGTGTGCCGTGAACCAAAAAAGGTTGAGAACCACTGATCTATAGACTTTAATCAACGGTAACTGGTTAATAATAAAAATACATTTTCAATTTCCATCGCTAATCTCAAGATATCTGTTTGACCACCTCTTTAAAATACGTAATCAGAAATCCCTTTATTATTGCACCTCTAGAGTATTAAAGCAACTCATATTTCAAATTTAAAGTTCGTAGTTTTTGAGATGAAATTATGAGTGAGTTTCAAATATTGAAATATGGCATTTATATAAATAGATTTATCAAAAAAAACAAATTCATTGATCATTCATACATCATCGTCATAATATAGCAAAATTGTATAATAGATTATGGGTAAATACTAACAATATTGTTTAGGCGCGTGTTCTGGAACCTTATGCCAGTAATACTATGGAACCGGTGCCGCGAAGACTAGGTCAGGAACCGAGTGCAACAGTTACAGAACGAGAACTAAGTGCAGACATGTTTCTGTCTACACAGGGAACTAGTGCTGAAGCGATAGAACTATTAGTCCCAGCGCCGGACACGGATTTAGAGGAACAGGAACGAATTTCTGGGTCACCAGAACTCGGTGAAGGAGCACCAGAACAAGGTTCAGGGACACCAGAACTTGAGAGTTCTAGATCACCGGAACCGAATGCATCGCAAACATCGGAACCTGCAGGTGCAGCCAAGCCGGAACTCAGTGAACCTGTTTCAGAACTGAGTGTAACAAAGCTGGAATAGAGATTTGATGATCAGACATTATCTCAACCACATCTAAGTTCCTAATGGCCAGAATCGTTTGTACTACTGTAATAGAAAATTAAAAGTTCTACAACCACTAAAAGTTGTTGAAAGTTAAACATTTTAGAATTTTAAAAATGTTTAAACACTTAAGCGGATTTAGTAATAATGTTTTACTGAACGTGAATAATGACAAGTGAGAAGCAATAATAACAAATGGCTACGTGAGAATTTTAATAAAATCTCCGAATAAGATATTTAAAATGTATTTTATGATTGTCCTTTTATTTTTTTTGGCATAAGTAAGCATATCAATGGACATTGCATAGTATGAATTCTACAGTGTTTAATAGCTATTTGTCTTACTGTATGGTTGTAAATTATATTTTTACCAATCAGTTTCACTACACGTATCAAGAAACTAATAAATTTTAGATTTCTAAACATGAGTCTAACACCTTATATTGTATCCTTCCGTCCGTTATAATTACCAGTACATTATGGTTACGATTGTTGATACTAAGATATTTAACGTGCGTGAAGTTGGCCCCCCCACCATGACCGATTTTTTTGCTTATAGTGGGCAGGGAAATGATTTGCAAATTTTGAAAACCAATTTGCAAATGTTTCCAAATTATTTGCAAAATGAGTACATAACTTTCAAAAAAATCGGTCATGGGGGGGGGGGGGCAACTTCACGCACGTGGATATTTATTTATTCACTATTGTACGTAGTTACTTTACATAGTTATGACTTGCGATTGTTTATTTCGCTTATTGTATTGTTTAGTATTTAATACAGATTCATACTATCCAAAAAATAATACCAAAATATTAAGGTTACCAAATTATTTTAAAATTGTTTTTGGAATAATTATAGTTTATTGCTTTTTATTAAAATACGTTTGAAAACCGGAATTTTGCACTCTCGCAGAGTCGGCTTTTCTAACTTGTTTCATACTAGCGACATTTTACATTTTACCGTCGATAGAACATCATTATTACAAAAGACCTTATTTATTTTATTTGAAATTAAATCGTTATCATATACCTAACTAAATGGGATTTAAATCACTAGGATAGTAAAACATTATTTTCAATCTAAGCACTTGGAACCTATTTTATTTTAGGTAGGTACCTGCACATAATATAGTTATAAAGTTTTGTTTTCATACCACAGAATAATAACTTTTCTAGTGAAATGTTTACATTGTGTATGTAGGTATAGGTACATCGTTTATAATAATGTTATTATATTGTTTTATATTTATTTCTGTGTGTGTGAACTACAAGCTTACACATTATACCGTTAAATTAAAAATAAAAATTAATAATCCATTACGACAATCTAATGCGCGAGGGCGCCAGCGTTGTTGTTTTTCGTATAATAATTAAACGATCGGCGACGGTGATAAATGCGTTTCTATTATGTTTTTGACCTTTTTGAAATTTAATTGCTTCGAATTATAATTATCGCGGAGGAGTAGCCTGGAAGGTTTACCTAACATTAACAGCAGCACCACCTATATAATACGCCTGCACCTGTATATATATGTACGTAATAATATAGTGTCATTAAAAACTCGACGCTTTCCGTCGCGAACATTTCTCAATCCGATGATTAAATGATTTATACGACGCGCATTTATCATTTCCGAATATCTCATCTGTGCATAGGCATATTTTATTATATTATATTGTATTACGTCAAAGTGTGCCAATAATTTATATATTATACGAGTGTTTATATTATAAATATCTGTATTTTGTGGTTCGGTGCGAGGAGTGCCGCCGTCAAACTAGATTATGTTTTTTTTTTAACCAAATAAAATATCTCATAAATGTTTGCGGACTGCAATTTAAACGACGAATGTTATATCTACTTATATTACACGACTGCCGCGTATACGTCTGCAGTATAACTGGGAAAATATTTTAAAAATGATAAAACATTAAACGAGATGCATATATTTTATGCACGAAGCTACAACAACATTGACTGTGTAGAACTGTTTCGAGAAACACTATGTTCGCAAACATATTTATTTTCCTGTAATAACATTCAATAATATAATAATTTGTTCTTACTCTATTATAAAGAATAAATATCATATACATACCATTTGATGTTTTTCGTTTATTATTCGTTTAACCGTTATTATTCTCAGTATTCAGTTATATTATTTAGGTAATCTACCTAGAATGGCCAATTGGTGAACCCACTAATATAATATTAACTGTGCAGCAGGAATATATAATATAAAAGCAGCCCAATGAAAATAAATGACCAAGTCAATCGTGAACTATTCAACTATATGTGTATGTAACGAGGTCAACTTTTCATTTTCCCCGGATTATTTTGAAGATCAAAATATATTTGAATAATGTTTTAACACACTACGAAATAAGACAGTGCAAATGGTTTCCAAGAAAAAATAATGAACTGCCATTGGACTTTTGGACATCACACGTATTGCATAAATTGCATAAATTATACGACGATAGTTCTGAAACTAAATGTGTAGGTAGTGCTATATATGTGATGTGCCTATATCAAGTCACAAGTATTCCAGGAATTTACCGAAACGCTCGAAATCGGCAATATCTATAATATATAGATAAACTATACTCCGATATCAGAGATTTCGTTGCGAAAATAATAATGTTTTTATATTGTTAGGAAAATTATTTTCTGATGATTATATGAGCCTTTTTTCCACACCGATTCGTGGCCCGTCAATACGACGATGCGTGCCAACTTTCAGATCCGGAGTTCTTCTTCCGTCGCTTTCGATCGGTTAATTTGTTTCCCTTTATTTGTCAATGTATTTCACTTACAAAGACAATAAAATAATAAGATGGACTAATCAAAAGTGAAGAACTATAATAATATTATGATACACGGGCAAACCACTGTGGCGGTACACACCGACGATATCCACGCATTTCGTCTATACATTTATTATCGTCGTTAAATTGTGCGTCCGAGCGTTTTGCATAAAATGTATATATCAGGTAAACGTTTTACGGATTAACGAGCAATAATGAATAATTTAGCGCTCGTTATTATGACGTGTACGGTGGATGTACCATACATTATGAATATTTTGTATTACACAAACTGCATCACATGGCACACATATGTGTCCTCCTGTGCCGAGGGCTTATGTACACCTGCCAGGCTGCGAGACCCATCTGCGGTGGTGTTGGTGGTGGCGGTGGTGGTGGAGGTGGTGGTGGAGGTGGTGCTAAAAGCGCTGCGGCGATTGCGGTGTTTACACACGTCATGCGCGGTTTGCAATCCACTTGGCTCGCCTCAGTGGCTGAGAACGTCATCATCGTACAGAGTGTTGCAGACGGTTTTCCTGGCAAAATACATGTTACGAACGGTCCCGCAGAATATCCGTAATATGAGGTGTGCTAATGCAGTAATGGCGTGCCGGGGTACACAATTATTTTTTATGATCCGGCTCTATCCGAGTGGCGAGTACCGCTGCTACACGGCAGTTTGTTTTCCCCGCAAGTAGAGCCCTAAATAAAACTGATGAGCTACCTGCTGCCTACGGGACATCCATCTCATCCGTTCGTCATATTATCGTATATACGTACTGTGCGATCACGAGTGTATTTTTTTTTTTTTTAGGAAACCCTCGGCAACATTGGCCATTGGGTGAGAGGTGGTTCGGTATAGGGTACTTTTGTATATTTTTCAGTAGATTTTATGTGTTGGTTGGATTGTAGCACGTGTTTGTGTATGTGTGGCAAGGATAATATGTATTATGTTGCTAAAAAGGCGGGGCGGTCACCCATCCGGGAGCTAGCAACACAGGCAGGTATACGTACAGTCGGAGCGTTTCCGCAGATTGAGAGTACCATCGCTCCACACGAGTGTATTGTATAGTTGTTATTGCAAAGACAACTGTTTAAGAGACTTCATTGATCTGCAGCTGTTTTTAGAACTCCAAAATATTACGTAGGTATACATTTACAATCTGCTTGTTCTCAATAATTCGTTTCGTGGATTACCCGAGAAACAATTTTATTCAGCTTGTGCATCATGTATTTTTCGTGGGAATGATCGGTGTACAGTGTGAGTTGAAAAATAAAATGTTGATTAATGTATTTTTAGGAATCATTTTAAAGTTGCAAAATTAATTTTATTAAAATAGCGAACCATCAACATTATTTATAGGTGGCTGGCATATTATTATTTATAAGTTTATAATGAACTCAGTTATGTGGAATTTATAACGCTACGTGAACTTTTGCCAGTTTAATCTATAATAGTTTATATAAAAATAAAAATAATAAACAAAAAAAGAACGGAATAGTGAACTAAGATTATACGTTTATATATAATATATATATTATGCTAAAAAATAGGAAACGTGACTCCAATGGAGAATTTAAAAACCCCATAAGGCCATAACCTTTTCCTTAAAATGTATTACCCATACATTTAATTTAATTTTTGTATTCTACGGGTAAACGTAAAGTTATTTCATTGCTATGATAATTTAAAATTAATAAGGGACAACTACTCGTTGTATTTAGAGTTTAGACGAACAATGACATCCTATTTACTGCAATGTGTAAAAAAATATGAAAAAATAAGATGTTTCGATATGCAAAAATGCTTAAGTGAGTGTAGACGTGGGCTAACTTATACTGAATGACGGCTTTAAACGTATTGCATAATATAATACGTAGGTATATAGGTAATTCACCGATGGTGGAAAAATAATGCGGAGAGGGCCAACGGTTGCGAAGAACAAATAACAACCCTTCCCCGCTGTTTTCCAACAATTCTCGCGTAATGAAGACCATTATATTTTTAGGGGGATTTCGATACCTATACATTATAGTATGCGTTTAAAACGAAAAGGGATAGTATTATACGTACACGGAAAAGTAATGGTGACGACTACGTTATATATGTGTACGAGGTAACATATAGTATCCCATATAATTTAATTGTCATCGCCTTACTGGAAAAAAAAATAGCGCCGACCCCCAACGGTGAAATGTACACGCCGCTGCAGGCGATCGCACACGTACCAATATATACTTTTGAGAGACGCTCTCCCGCCACCAACGGTGCAGCAGACGTGCTTTCTTGTCAATTGACAAACTCACTTAAGGCTGAACGGA